CGCCGACCTGAACTCGAGACCCGGGCGTGTCGTCGCTGCCTCCGCGCTGTGGGCTGCCGCGTTCGCGGAAAAGCAGCGCGCTGGCGATGACGCGGTCGCCACAGGCGCGTCGCGTCGCGTCGGGTCGCGGGGTGGCGCAGGCGGCGCGTTACGCAATCGCCTCGCAGCGGCAATGCCCGCGTGGCGTTTTCCGCCACCGCCGGCGCGAGCGCGGAGGAGGGCACGGCACCGCAGGGCACCTGCACACGACCCGCCCGCAGGCCGGCCGGCCCTCGGGGAGAGGGGAGAGGGGGAAGCGCGGTCGGGGTGGCGGGCGCGCCCGGGCCGTATTGATATGTTTATAAACACGAGGCACGTGCCAGCGCGGTGACCCCGCCGCGGGTCGACGCCGAGACCTCCCGCCGGGGTGGATGATCGCGTCTCCCAGATGAATGGGAAACGAAAGTATTTATCAAGAAAAACGAACACAAGAAAATATTTGTTTGTCTAAAGTATATTTAATTTGGAAATTACTTATAGGGAAAGGTTTATTGAATAGGTATTTATAAAATTAAGATAATAATGTTATGAGTAAACTTTATGAAGAAAAAATCTTTCAAGAAATGAAGTTAACTTCTTTTCTCAGAATTCATCGATATTTGTTGTTTAGTTGTATCTTCAAACTATTTAATTTGAAAATATTATTTTTCCGTAACTTCAAGTGATAATCGATTCACAATTTTCAGCAATGAAGACTCGTTATAACCTCGCTGTCGTCTTGCCCACCCTCTCCCCACCCGTGGCCGTGGCCTCTTGTGATCCCCGCTCGGCCGTCAACTTCCTGTCTGCATATTATTATTAGGCACTTGACGATTGCTAGTGTTCATACGCACCTTGTGCTGTTTTGATCATCGACGGGCATCGTCATGCCGAACGAATGTGCATCTATGTTTGTTGCTTGTGCACTACGTCGCACCGAATTCTACCTGACGTTTTAATTAATATAATAATAATAATAATAATAATAATAATAATAATAATAATAACAACAACAATAATAATAATAATAATAACAACAACAATAACTTTCATTCAAATATATTTACGGACAGTTTTGACCAATGGAAGTATTTCTTTTTAGAAAGGTTCTATTTGTTTTATTCAATAAAGACCTATGTGTCTCAATGCACGAAGCTTTATTAGAAAGTAATGGGCGAATAATCTTCCTGCATACAGAAGATTATTCTGTATGATAGTAGACGTGTACCATTATTCTCACGCGCCGTTTAGTTAACTTTAGACGCCGCACTAGCAGTTAATTGTTATTGTTAACGTGTGCCGTTGCGTTTGTTTTCGTAGAGTGTGCGAGTCGGGAGGAGGGAATGCGTTCCATTGTTACGTCACGTGGAGTCGGACCAATGGCGTTACGGGGTCCATGCGACAGCCCGCAAGAGTTCCACGAAC